GGCACCGGAAGAGGTCTGAGGACACCAACAGGGGCCTGGCTGGGTGTCTTGGAGCGGGTGCAGATGTCACAGGCACTAGTGTATTCCTTAACATCCCTCACCATGCATGGCCACCAGAGTGCTCGTTGGAGGAACTTCAGAGTTCGAGAGGACCCCGCATGGCCAGACAGGCGTGACGAGTGGGCCCAGGAGAGCGCTTCACTGCGACAGGATGTAGGGCCATAGAGACGACCCGTGGGGGTCTCCGAAGGTGCGGGATCGTCCCGGAGGGCGTTCTGGATAGCCTCCTCCAACGGCCACCTCAGGTGGGCCAGGAAACGGTGCTCTGGGAGAATTGGTTCAGGCTCGGACATCGGCGTGGAGTGTGTGAACTGGCGGGAGAGGGCATCAGTCTTCTGGTTCTTTGTTCCAGGGCGGTAGGCGAGATGGAACTCATAGGGCTCGAAGAAGAGGGCCCAGCGGGCCTGGCAAGGATTGAGCTGCTTGGCGGATCGGATGTGAGTCAGGTTCTGGTGGTCCGTCCAGATAGTGAAAGGCTGGGTGGTGCCTAGAAGCCACTGTCTCCATTCCTCCAGCTCCCATTTTATGGCCAGCAGTTCACGATCACCCACGCCATACTTCTGCTGGGTGGTGGAAAACTTCCTAGAGAAGTAGGTGCAGGGATGGAGTCTGTCATCGGGCCCGCCTTGGGACAGGATGGCACCAGTGCCGACGTCCGAGGCATCGACTTCGACCACAAAGGGCACCATAGTATCTGGATGGTGGAGGATAGGGACCGACGTGAACTGGGTGACCAGGTGGCGGAAGGCCCGAATGGCGTCTGGAGTTAGACGGAACGGTTGGCCAGGTGGGCTTGGTGAGGTGAGGGAGGTGAGAGGTGCCACAATGGTGCTGAATTTCTTAATAAAATGGCGGTAAAAGTTCAAGAAGCCCAGACAACTCTGTAGCTGTTTTAGGCTCGTAGGAAGGAGCCAGTCAGCGACCGCCTGGACCTTCTGAGGGTCCATGGTTATGCCCTGATCTGAAATCATGAAGCCCAGGAATGAGATGGTCCGCTGGTGGAAAGAGCATTTCTCGGGCTTGCAGTATAGGTTATTGTTCAGGAGCCGGGTCAGGACGGCACGAACATGGTGGAGGTGTTCGGCCTCAGACTTGGAATAAATTAGGATATCATCCAGGTAGGCAAACACCCACCGGCCCAGCATGTCACGGAGGACATCATTAATGAGGCGTTGAAATACAGCGGGGCTATTGCACAACCCGAAGGGCATGACCTGGTACTCCCAATGACCGGTGGGTGTGATGAATGCAGTCTTCCACTCATCCCCAGCTTTAATGCGGACCAGATTGTAGGCGCTCCGGAGGTACAGTTTTGTGAAGATCCGCGCCTGGGAGATGGAGTCCAGAGCAGTCGTGAGGAGTGGCAGGGGATGACGGTCCCTGACAGTGATTTTATTTAGACCCCGGTAATCTATACAGGGACGAAGGTCACCTTCCTTCTTCTTCACAAAGAAGAAGACTGCAGCACCCGGGGTAGAGGAGGGTCGGATGAAACCCTGCTGGAGGGTCTGGTTGATATATTCCTCCATAGCTCTGGATTCGGAGGGAGAAAGAGAGAAAAGACGCCCACGGCGAGGACTGGTTCCTGGTTGCAGCTTGATCTCCATGTCATATGGGCGGTGAGGCGGCAGTGTGGTGGTGCTTAGCTTGTCGAAGACTGCGGCAAGGTCCCGATAGGGCAGTCGCAGATTGGGCGGTAGAGGTCCGAGACCACCAGCCGGGCGGTCTGCCATGGGTGGAGGAGGAGAGAGGTTGGCCTGACACTGGGTCCCCAGCCTAAAAGGCGGTTCGGGGACCAGGAAATCTGGGGGTCATGGAGACGGAGCCAGGGGAACCCCAGGATTAGAGGAGAGGAGGGAGTGGAGATGATAAGGAGATGGAGGGTTTCCCGGTGGCCTTGGAGGATCATCTGGAGTGACTGAGTTCGGTCTTGGACAGGATAGGGCTGGAGAGGTCTGCCGTCCACCGAGGTCACCGGAACAACCCATTACAGGGGAGTCAGGGGAATCTGTAGGCGTTTAGCCAGATCCACATCCATGAAGTTGTTGGCGGCCCCAGAGTCCACCAGAGCATGCAACTGATGTGAGGTCTCACCATGAAAGAGGGTGACAGGAAGGAGGAGTCGATGGGAAGAGACAGGGGCAGAGGGTGACCCGGGCTGAACTACACCGATATTCAGTGGTTTCCTTCGTTTTCCGGCCGTAATGGGCAGTCCAGGTGCCGGTGGTCGGGAGAGCCACAATAGGCACAGAGACCCTCGCGCCACCGTCGCTGTCTCTCCTCCAGGGGAAGGTGGCCTAGTTGCATAGGCTCCTCAGTTGAAGTGGGTCCGGGGGCTGGCGTTGGTGAACGAGGAAGAGGTCCAGGAGCTCCAAGTGGGCGAGTGGAGGACCTGGCTCGAACCAGAACCCGCTGGTCGATGCGCAGCGCCAGGTCGGCAACTTCATCCAGGGTCTGGGGCAGTTCTTTTCCCGCCATCTCGTCTCGGATGTAGGGCGCCAACCCCTCTAAGAAGACAGCCCGAAGGGCAGAGTCATCCCATTGTAGTTTGGAAGCGATGGTGCAAAACTCTGACGCATAGGCGCACATCGAGCGTTCCCGTTGGCGGAGCTTTAGGAGACGTGCCTCAGCCCCCACTTTGCTACTGGGTGGAACGAATGTCTCCCTGAGGGCGGCCACAAAAGCAGCATAGTCATTGCAGGCAGGGGATTTAGAATTATAAAGAGCGGCGGCCCACTCCTGAGTGCGTCCAGAAAGCAGGGAGGTGAGATGCGCCACCCGAGAGCGGGCAGTGGGGAAGTGTCCTGGTTGGCACTCGAATTGCATGTCGAGGGAGGCGAGCAAACCATCTGGGCTCCCAATCTCTCCATTCCACCTCTCTGGTAGGCTGAACTGCAGCTCCTCCTTAGGTGGAGCGAGGGCTTGCTGCTGGAGAGCATTGAGGGATGTGGATAATTGAAAGGTGAGGTCGGTCAGGGAGTTCACCTTGGTGTTGAGCCGATCGACCAAGGCGTGTAGCTGAACAATCTCATTCTTCATTCGCTCAAACTCCGCTTAGTTAGTGAACTCAGTCACCCTGTCAGACTGGTCGGCTGGATACGGGAGTTGAGCTTGTAAAGAGCGTGGTTTCATAGACGCGGAAGTGATAGCGTCGGTGAAACGCCAGCTCACGGTTTAATCTAGGAATCCCCGAGCGTTCGAGTGTCAATGAAGTGACACGGAAATGTTGGGTTTTCCAAAAATAAGTAAGAGCACTTACTGTGAGCAGATAGTTTGTAAGATGGATCGGTTAATTGGAAACTCTGATCATGGAGAAACGATGACTGAGTGGTGAGCTAGGGAGGCGACTTCCGAATATAGTCACGGTTAGAGACGTAGGTGTGACGTGGAGGGAATCCCTGCGAGGAGCTTGCTTGGAGTTGTGGTCCATGGTGGAGGTCGGCTAGCTGAGAGAGGCTGGTTTGGGGACTTGGGTTCTGACACAGTTAATTCGTGAAATAATATTTGGAAAAATGAAAATATTTAAGTATAGCAATGATCACAAAGTCAGCCAAGTCACAAAAAATATTAATTTGAATAGTTTATCTTGCTGAATTTATACAATAATGTTTTTGAGCAACACAGATGTTTGTTTTATTTTATGGTCTTAATGTCTCTTTAATCAAGTTCCATGTACAGCAATAGGAAACAACAGGTCAAAACCAGTCTAGCTTCATTTTTTACAGTGGTTCAGTTATCAGCACTTTTATTCAGACAGAATTAACTGAGATAATCTATGTTTTATTTGTTATTTTTGAAATATGATCAGTCACTCTGGGATTAACATGCAGACTAAACGTGAAAATAGTTCTTTACCCCTATTTCCTGCAAAGAAAACAGATGGGTTAACACTTGGATTAGAAAAAGCCAGTGGATTCCAAGGCACAATATAAATTAGCATTCATGGACTCACCCACCATAGCAGAACTCCTTCAGGCTTGTGCTGTTTGTGGAGATAAAACATGAACGCTGCAGAGCAAATGGAGGCAGTAGAAGAGTTGCTTTGCTGTTGGCCAATCAGAGGCGGGATATCCAAATATCAGGAAATAAGAGGCAAATCCTGTCGTCTGAAGCTCACCTCTGCTGTGGCTCCCCCCTAGTTCTTTAAAACAGGAGCTCAAGAGCCTTTTCCTCTACAGAGATCAACTCACAAGGCATTTGTTTATACTACAAACCACTGCTAATGTATTGAAAAAAGAGTGAACTGGGTCTTTAAAATCCTGTAACATGATGCAGCATTTGTAAAGTAGAGTAACTGTTGCAGGCAGTTGGGAAATATTAAATCCTCTTAAGATTGAAAAAAGACAAGAAGAAGATAAACAAACACTTTGGTGCGAAGATAATGGAGCTCACATGCTCTCCTGAGCAAAGAGGCAGCCAACATGCTTTTGTGTGCGTGTGTGTGTGTGTGTGTGTGTGTGTGTGTGTGTGTGTGTGTGTGTGTGTGTGTGTATGTGTGTGTGTGTGTGTGTGTGTGTGTGTGTGTGTGTGTGTGTGTGTGTGTGTGTGTGTGTGTGTGTGTGTGTGTGCGTGCGTGTGTGTGTGTGTGTGTGTGTGTGTGTGTGTGTGTGAGTGCGTGTGTGCACGTGTGTGTGTGTGTGTGTTAAGGACTGCCCCGTTTCACTGATTCCTCTGTTCATGTTCACTGACCCCTTGATTCTGGAAAGTATAAAACCCCGCAGCAGGTAGGATGATGTATGGAGAGGACCCACAAACATAAAACTTGTTAGTGCTCAGAAACTAAGAAGCTCTTTGATCCGACTTCAGTCACTCGTTAATTATTTGGTCCATGTGAGGCTTTTGGAGCTGTTTGCATTTACTGCTCTGAGCCACAATAACTCTTCAGTATTTGACATATTTACATGCTAACAAAGTCTTTTCTTCTTCTCACCAAACTTCAGAAAAGACCAGAATCTCCTCTCCACTGTGAACTGCTGGTATTTGGTTTTGGACCAGACCCGACGGGAGAGCAGGGACCACGCCACTCTCAGTGACATCTACAACAACAACGTCATTGTCCGGTTGGCGCACGTGGGCGAGGATGTCATCAGACTTTTTAAAAAGGTCAGACTCTGAGTTCAGTGGATGAGAACATGCAGTCCAGCCCATTACTGACAACCCAACTGCTTTAATCAAGTCCCTGACGCACACGGAAGCTTTAATATGTAACTATTATGCTTATTTACATGGCTCTTTTCATGATGGCGCTTCTATAGAAATTAAGAACCCCGCATCAAAAGAAGTGAACTATTTTTTTTTAATAATCTGTCCTCTTTATAGGGCAAAATCAATGACAGTTTATTTAAGATGGACAAACCCTCTGCTGTCTCCAGTAGGTTCCTGAGGAGCTAAAATGAAGCCCAGTGAGCGGCTCCCACCACCGTGTCATGACTCTTGTCACACCTGAAAATACAAAAATGGAGCTGAGAGCGAGGCTGTAAGGGTGGGGGCAAACTCTGGCCAATGAAGTCAAGAGTTAACCAAAGCTAATGGAGTTTGGCGGCCGCTTTCAGCTAGAAACCCGTGGTTGAGCGACTCTGCTGATCTCTGCCTTGGCTGTAACACTTTTCACGTGAGGCAGAGGCTGATGTCTTTCCTGGAGCAAGCAAGGGTGCAAGCTGCTAGCGCTGATGCTAACATTTCTTCTGCTACCTGTCAATCAAAATGACACACCCCTAATAATTAATGATTTCAAACTTTAATTCCCTCTAAATAGCTGAATTAGAAAGATATCCACCCCCCTCAGAGTTGTCCTGAATGTAAACTTGACCCATTAAACCTAAAATGGTCTTTTGAACCAGGCTGTAAACACATTTAATTCTGCTGTGAAGTTGGGATTTTTACATTGGAGTCAGTCAATAGGAACCTGCTTCCTTCTGGAGCTTGCCCCTAGTGGAATGGGGGGGAGGGGACTGCAACGTTTGTCCCTTTTGCATTGGCTTCACTTCTGGCGGGCGGGCTTTGTCCCTCGGGTAGAGCACATCTGCAAAGACAAGTAGATTTTATTGATCAGCTGAGGTAAATAAGTGATGACTGCCGGCTAAAGATCAGAATGAGTTCTTCAAAACAATAATCCTGTTGTGCTTCAGCAGCAGTGCAGTCTCACTGGTAATTAATTGCACGTGTGCTGAAGACACTGAATCTCCTCTGGCACGCGTTAAAACAAGCTGAATGTGCTGAGTTGTGTTCTTGATCCATGTGAAAATGCTAGGTTGCTGATCTGACAAGTGATCCCTGAAAAGGTGACAAGAAAAATGTCTGGGTGAAGCTCAGCTCTGGATCCACTTAACAGGATTTCCAGAGTCACCACTCCACCCCCCACCCCATCTTTGGCTACCAGCCTTAATGTGGGACACGTCCATTTCATCATACACTCCTACTCTCTGTGTCTGAGCTAAAGCTGTGACTTTCCACTATGAAAGCTGTTCTGCAATGACTGCACTGTTATATTTTTGTCCTCCTGCTCTCTTTGGGGTATTGCATTAGACATTCTCAGCTGCAGAGTAATGACAGCATGTCAGAGCTTTACTGACATCCTTCCCAGTCAGAGTAAAACTGGCACAAATCTCTCAAATGAGAATTTTCCCATAAACCATCTCTCTTCTTTGGCTTTAGATGTTACCATGTTTGTTTTCACTTCCCTGCTGAATCCCTGTCTTTTAATTTTCCCTTTTTTGTCTATAACAGAGTAAAGACATCGGGGTGCAGATGCACGAAGAGCTTGTTAAAGTCACCAACGAGCTCTACACGGTGAGTTACACAGCATCAGCGCTCTTTTCATGCATCGACTGCCTGTGGTGTGTCAGTCCTACGGCCATTTATTATTTTTTTAAACGTGCAACCTATGAAGCAGCTGGCTTGACTCTGCACACAGCAGATATGACCTTATCAACAACGCAGCCTATGAAGAAGTCAGATCTTCCCTCCACTGAAGTTGAGAAAGGATAAAATGTACATTGCAGGTTCCGATGTGAATTTCGTCTTGATTTGAAGGCGAAAGTGTTCTACCTTCCACCTGAGCTTTGAGCCGACTCAGCACTTTGTCTTGTTGAGGTGTTCACAGAAAACACGAGCTGTGGGAACGTTTTTTGGTAAATGCTACATTTACTTAGACACCTCCACCTCTGTGGTGTAGCTACAGCTCTCAGCTGAGATCTGTTAACGGCTATGTCATGCACGTAAAGGTGCAGTTTGTGAGAATATAGAGATTTTACAGTGACAAAATCCCAAAAGAGTCTAATGACAGTTTCACATCTGGGCCAGCATGGACCAGGTTGTGTGGCATTGGTCCAGGTCTATACTGGTAGCGTTTGTTCACACACACTTTTCAGGAACTGGGAAATCTCCGAGCCCGTGGGCGGGGCAACAGATGCACGAAAACATCCTTGGTGTCTTCCAAGGACTGCCTCTGTCAGTGCGCCCCAGGACAGCTGTGGCTACATCGTAGCTCATCCCCATCAGTGTGTGAAAGTGTGTGTGAATGGATGTGTGATAAAGCGCTTTGGAGTCCTTACTCTGAGAGGCACTATACAAGTGCGGGTCATTTATCATTTACAAAGAGCAGATTTGAGCTGAATGCGGCTCACAAATTTACACAAAACAAATAAAGTGCATGTCAGAAACATAACAGCGTTGCAGAATAAGTACTTTAATCACAGCCATGTCTGAAAGGAAAAACATGCATGATGAAAGCCACATGAGAAGGATGCTCGTGTGTAACTTCATACAGCACAAAGTAACATTACTGCTCTACTGGTATTGATTTTCCTTCTCTTTCTGATTCGTACATTATTAATGGCATGTCTGCAGCACTCACACACATTATGAGGTAAAGCAAAGTCTCTGCTCAACTTTAAAAGAGGAAAAAATAACGATGGATCTAAATGTGCACTTGTAGTTGATTTAATCTGTTAGGTTTTAAATAGATTATTTCCTGGCTGCAAGATTAGGATAATCCTGCAACAATTTTATTTTGTTTCTGCTGTTGTTATTATTAAAATGTACTTGTTTTATAAGCAGCAGCTCTTTGTCACTTTACCTCTTTCTTCTTCTGCTGATCGATCTCGCTGGCCATTGCTCTTCCATTTTGGTCAGGGTTGCTAGGTAACCGGAACTTGAGAAGCGGGGCTGCTGAAGCAGATGCTGTGTAGATTCAGGAGTTACTGTTTAAACAGTTGCACTTGTCTTTAGCTACAGCAACGTTACAAGACAGTTTTAAGGAAGGGATAAAATACTGTTTGAAGTTTTATGATCTGTTTCAAGATCTTATTTTATGTTTGTTTATTCTATTTCTTTGTTATCAGTGTGCAAGATGTGCAACATTTTTGACACATATCTGAAATGTTAGGTCCCAGATTGGTCTGCAGTGGTTTAGCCATAATTATGTGACGTTTAAATGCAAAACCCAAGGTAAATTTGACAAGAGAAGCAATTATGCATCTGTCAGAATAACAAGCATTTAGTACAAAGTGTGAAAAATTAACATAAAGGTTATGCAGATCTTATCAGGTTTAAATTGGTTCATCAGGAAGTAGCCATGAGAAGCTTTAAATTTATTGAAAAATGACTAAATTGTGCTTGAAATCTACAAACTTATTCTAAAACTGTTGGGAGGTTTTGCACATTTCTAAATAAACCGTCAACGCTGTTTAAATGTCAGATTATGTTTTTCAGCTAAACCACAGCAGTAGTCATTTAACAGCATCCATTTGTTAAGAAGATGTTTAGATGAACATAAAGTCAATTTACAAAATCAAATATCATTTGATTTCATAACGTATTCAAGTCACTTTCCAAAAGTTGTAGAACATTTTGCCAGAATAAAAAATGGTTTCATAATTTTAAAATCTTCATTTAAGTTTTAGTCATTATAAACTAATCTAATGGCTGCACATAGCCACATTTTGCCTTCAAAAGGCTAATTTGTACAAAATTATCAATTTTAAATTGGTTATCACTAACTTCATTATTACACATGTATTACAATAGTATTTTCTATAACTGTCACACTTTAATCTACATAATTATAGTTATTTTTCAAAATAAAATACCTTGTGAAACAATGGGAATAACCTTCTAAATAAATTCAAAGACTTTTAGTATTTGCAAACTATAACTAACATCAACTGAAGTAAATAAATATTTTACAAAAGCCCACCTGTGTTTATTCAGGGTCTTAGGAGGGAAAAAATGCAAATGATTTATTTATTATTTTAAAAAAAGCTATTTTACCTTCTCTGCAGCATTTATTGATCTAAAAGATTTTAAAACCCCTCTGCCATTGGTTTTTATCCTTAGGAAGTCTTAGATGTTGTTTGCTTGTTTGTTTGTAGGTAATGAAGACTTACCACATGTACCACAGTGAGAGTCTGAGTGCTGAGAGCAAACTGAAAGAAGCAGAGAAGCAGGAAGAGAAGCACATCGGGAAGAGTAACGACATCAGCACCAGCCTGCTGCGCTACGCTCACGACGAACGTCCTCAGAGGCGCAGTTCTGTTAAGAAAATGGAGAAAATGAAGGAGAAGGTCCATTTCTGCTGACTTGACTACACATGATTAGGAGGCATGCAATGCCCATTAGAAGTGAAACCGTCCGTGATTGCTTCTGTCATGAAATTCTTGAGTTTGACAATTGTCCGTCTGCAGAAATTACTTAAGAAACGTTTCCACAAGAACACACTATCTTCACTTGATACATATATTGATGCATTATGTGAGATGGGATCAATGTGAGGCTTCCTTGAGTACATTAGGGTGGCATTTTACATCCTGCATCAATGGGACTGTTCTTTTCCTTCCTCCCCAGAGACAAGCCAAGTACTTTGAAAACAAGCTGAAATGCACAAAAGCTCGGAACGACTATCTCCTCAATCTTGCAGCTACCAATGCTCTAGTGGCCAAGTACTACATCCACGATGTCTCAGACATGATAGATGTGAGTGGATTTCAGACCGCTGTTTTCTACTTTCATTAATTAAACATAAAATAAAATAAATTAAATCCCACTTGTTCTATTTGATTTCAGTGTTGTGACCTAGGATACCATGCAAGCTTGGCGCGTACCATGAGGACCTACCTATCTGCTGAATACAGCCTGGAAACATCTCGCCACGAGGGTCTGGATTTACTGGAGGGTGCAGTAGATGCAATGGACATTCGAGGAGACAAGCTGAAGTTTATGGACACGCACAGTCAGATCTTCTGTCCTCCAGCACGCTTTGACTATCAGCCACATGTGGGCGACGAAGTGAGTCTTTGAATGGAGACTTTGACAGTTTTGTCTGTCTTCCATCTTAGACTGATGGTTTATTCCGTTGTTCCTCCAGGTGTGTCAGTTGAGCGCGCAGCAGCCAATTCAGACTGAGCTCCTGATGCGTCACCACCAGCTGCAGTCTCGCCTTGCCACTCTGAAGATAGAAAATGAAGAGGTAAGAGTGCATCAGAAGCGTATGTTGGAAAGCGGGAAGCTTTCTCAAAGTCTGCTACAAAGAGTTGTGTCTCTTTGTTAGGAGAAGCATGGCAGTTTACAGAAATCTGCAGATTATTATTATTATTATTATTATATCTGATGAGACAGTGATATTATTGCATTAGTTTCACACATCCTGAGGTTCACTGAAGGTGTGATGATGTGGTGATCCTGAGGTTTTCTGATGCAAATTGAAGCTAATCTTAGACCTGAAAGGGTTAAAGGTCAGTTTTTCACCAGTCTTTTGTTTATTGAATACATTTTTACAGTAGATGCTGGCTTTAGGTCCGTTGCAGTTTTATAGGGCTTGTGATTAATATTATTCATATTTTATAAAGCATCGGAAAAATGTAAATGTTTATTATTATTCCCCTTATTTGACATTTAGCATCTAGCAAAGTAGGAAAAAGGGGTGTGAATTGGCAAGAATATGCATGGTGATACGAGAAATGGTATAATACGAAGCAAGATGGCAGATGATATTTGCAATTTAACTTAATTGACAAACTCAGCTCAGATGCTTCCATGACAGGTACAGTCTTACTGTGAGATTATTGTTCTGTCAGAATGAAGGCAGCGTAAACTGCTGCCATCTAGCAGTCAGAGTCTGAATGGCACCACACAAATGAAATATAGTCAAGGTTTACATGTAAATTCTCAATAAAAATTGATAGGAGATAATACGAAAATTTCGCAATATTTCAGTGCATCGATATTTTTTATGAACCTACTGGAGACCTATGTGTCCATTAAATGTTTGCATATTAATTTTTTGTATGTATTTACCTATCAATTAAGTATCAAAATACAAAATATCACAATATTTCAGTGGCCTTGTGGCATGAGTGTCTGCCCTGGGACTGGGAGGTCATGGGTTCAAATCATACCAAAGACTAAAAATGGGAACCAGTGCCTCCCTGCTTCACACTCAGCTTTAAGGGGTTGGATTGAGGGGTTAAAGAACCAAATGGTTCCTGAGCGCAGCTCCAGCTGCAGCTTAACGCTCCCCATGGGGATGGGTCAAATGCGAAGATGAAATATCACCAGCATGTGATGATGACTGATGGGACTTTCTTACATCATTAGTAGGAAATCATTGTACAGTGAAAAGATGAGAATTTTTTTACAGTGCAAATTTAAACATAATGTCTCATGAAACACATTTATTTTATGATGACTGCAGTTTTAAACTGTGAGGGTGTTGTGCTTGGACACCTCTGATGAGTCCTCCAGTGGACTGCTTCTTGACCTTATCCTTTATTCGACGACTCTGTGTGCACCTGTATCAGATTTTTTTTTATAATTGCCTGTCTGATTTCTGCATTCTCCTTGACCCTGAAGTATAACTCACAGTTTAGAAGTTTATCATCCTTTAGCTGCGAGGTACAGCTGATTTTTGCTGGCAGGTGTGCAGATTACCCCAGCTGGAGTATAGGAAGCATTTAGGAGTCAAATGAGACATGTTTATTTCAAATAACATCATGAATGTGAATGTGAGACAACTTTAACAACAAAATGGTGCTGGTGCAAAAACTATCTTGTGATTGTATCCTTCACGTCAAACACTGCAGCCGTCTCTTTGTGTTTCTATTGATTTCTTTATTCGGACACTCGTGTCTTGACCCCTCTACTGCTGCCACCATAGAAATAACAAGGTCAATGTGACTCACTCAGACCCACTTAAAGGTCCCTACGGTGCGTGTCATGAATATGGCAATTAACACTCTCTTCCTGTCCACATCAAGAATCAAAGTGCATGCTCGGACATGGAATGACTCTTGTGTTTTACAGTTTATTCAGTCTAACTTGAGTGAAAACACCCTGTGGCTTTGTATTCGTCATGACTTTATTGTAGATTACATTTTAATTGTTGATTTATTACACTTCATTTACTAAAGATATTACATTTGAGATGTTATAAACTGTTCTAAACATGCATTTTCTGTAATTAGGTAAAGAAGACTCTTGATGCCACCATGCAGACGCTTCAGGACATGCTCACTGTAGAGGATGTTGATGTTTCTGAGGCCTTCCAGCACAGCCAATCAACAGAGTCTGTCAAATCGGCTTCCTCTGACTCATACATGAGCAAGGCAAACATTGCTAAAAGGAGAGCCAATCACCAAGAGACTGAGGGCTTTTACTTTACAGTGCGTTCCAACACAAAAAAGTCTTAAAATGTATAAAAACTCTAGGACTATTCTTAGTGCTATTGTTGATTTTATGTTTTTTTTTCTAACTGCAGAAATATAAGGAGTACTTGAATGGCAGCAATCTCATTGTGAAGCTGCAGGCGAAGCATGACCTCCTAAAGCAAACGTTAGGGGAAGGTAAGAGTTGTAAAAAGTTCATCAACTGAAGCCTTTCTAATTTCTCTTTAAACAAAGCACAGAACACAGCTGATTTGTTTAACTTAGTGATGAATCACTCCTGTAGACTCTAAGGAAGGCTGGGAGACATTTCAGCTGTTAGATGAAGGTGTTAAAAAGACAAAAGCTCAGCGTTTTAGTTTCAGTTCTACAATGGGACATTAGGAGGTGCTAAAAGCAAGCCAAAACTGCCTAGTTCCCTTTTAAAATTTTCATCCTTAACAAACCCCTTATATTTATTGCAAGAAGTTGTTTAAATCCACCTTAAGTAAAACTCTCCTCTCATTACATTTCTGTTTTTATTTTGGTTTTCTTATCTAAAAGTATTTTTGAAGTTGAAGCAACAATAGCAAATCTACAGAACAAGCTAGCTTTAGAGCATAAACACGGTGACAGAACACTCACCCCTCCCATTACGTCATATCCTCGGGCACGTCCGCCGGAACCAGAATTTCACATTTCCAGAGTAAGCGAGATGGCGCTAAACACCAGTTGCCATTTTCTCCGTCAAAATGTCTTTTGTTGTCCATGACTTCCAACGGTGCTTCTCTTTTTTTGTGACTGGTAGTTTGTCCTAAAGTTGTAGTGGCAACATGGGCAGCAGTAGCTCAGGTGGTAGAGCGGGTTGTCCAGTAATTGAAAGGTTGCAGGTTCAATCCCAGCTCCTGCCAGAACAGGCTACTGTTGTGTCCTTGGGCAAGACACTTAACCCGCCTTACCTGCTGGTGGCGGTTGGAGGGACCGGTGACGCCTATGTTTGGCAATCTTGCTTCCGTCAGTACACCTCAGGGAGGTTTTCAGACATTTTTTATCTTTAATCTTCACAAAATATTTGTAGCTATTCTATTTTCGGATGTTTTTATGAGGCATGAAAACATTTTTTTTAACTATCTTGTACATTTTCTATTGCTGCTTTAAATATTGGCCAATCCATATTTATGATAACTGCTGCAATATTAAATCAAAAATGTGCATTTTTTTGTAATGTTGTATGGTAGTGGTCATGCATTTAATGAGTTTTTATTCAGAATTGTATATTTTTTTAAATAAAAAAAATCAAATAATCAAAAGTAACTGTGGCAGTTCAGAGAGGTTGTGAAGTCCATTTAAGTTTTCTCATAGTCTAATTCTACTGAAGTTTGTAAACGGCTACAACAAACGTTGAACTAAAAATGTTAAACTGCTGTGAAAACACCAAACATCTGAAGTAGTGTTAGTTTTTCCGTTTTTCAGCCTGTAAGTTGGATGAAAAGTAGAGTAATATTTAACGATCGCTTTTGTGTGAAAATCAAACAAGGAAAGCATCAGTTAAGATTTATAATGTGCATCTGTTTTCTTCAGGGTTTGCATGTGCATAAGAAATGCAAATGAGTTAAAAGTTTGCACACTTAAATAAGTTAATTTGTTACTGAGAAATATTTACACTGACCAGCTGCAGACATGAAATCCTCCCGCTGTACGAATCAGCCTCCCCCTCTTGTTGCCCCTGGTTACATTTTCCACTTAGCGTAGTGGGAAAGAGAGTCGACAGACCGTCCCCTTCTGGAGCTCTTGTGCTGTTTCTAGGGCGACCGCTGAATGACCGCTGTCTGGCAGTGAGTCAAACAGCGATGGCGCTCACCCCATTCAGTTGGACTGAATAGATGCCCCTTTTCCTTCTAACACCCCTTTCCGTCTCCATTTGCCAGCTTGTATAATCAGCCAGCAGTCAACCGTACAGCTAACTACTGTGACTGAAAACTGAGCATATTCTAATTCTGGCTCTGTTTCTTTATTATTTTTATTTTTATTTTTTTTTTGCTTTTAGGAGAGAGGGCTGAATATGGAACAACAAGGTAAGGTGTCCAGAGAGAAAAGGGTGAATAAAAGTATCAAATCCTTCCTGTGTTTCATAAAACAATTCAACAGTGGGGGAGAAGTTGATGCTAAGTCTATAATTTGGTGATGAACTAGTTTTTTTTTCCAAAGATTGTGCCAAAGTCTTCGTTTTAAAAGGCAAATAGGTTGCCTAGAAAAAGAAAAAAAGCTGAAAAGTGAATTAAATATGTAAATTTTAGATCTGAATAGGCTACAAATGTTGTTGCAAGTTAATCCGTCACCTCTACACACAAATGAGTTTAAATGAATAGGTAACTATTTTGGGGAGTGTGGGTGTTTTTTTATGTTCAAAGAAAATCACAAAACTTTCATGAGAGTGTGCAACTGTCTGAAGCCACAGTGAACATCCTGTTTGTTTAGATCCGCTCTCGACGAAACAAGAAAACACGGTAAGCTTCAAGCAGCCAGTAAAAAGCCCCGACAGTGTTTCATTTTTACCACTTTGATGCTTGTAGAGATAAAGATGGTGCCCACTCCTTCACTTTCTGGTTAAAGGTCTTGTGCTTCATGTATGAGAAAATAAAGGCAGCAATGAGTTTGTAAAAATATACTTTTTACATTTTCTATCCTTGCAATTACACATACTTAATGCATAAAAATGTGTTGCATAAGATTTTGTTTCCTGTGGGTTTTCTTAATGAAGATTGCATATAAGGGGAAATGCAGGCAAAATAATTTTGACCAGATACTTTCCGTGAATGCAAAACAAGCTTCTGCTGTGATTCTGCCAAGATAAATGTCAACTGTTTTTGGTGCCGTTAATAAATTTGTCAGAGACTAGGGGACTAGGGGTGCATATTGGTGATAGGATATACCACAATACAGTGGAGACGATACGATGCATCACCATAATACAATAAAGATGATATTTGACATTTTTAAGACTGAATTTAATTTGAAAATTCAGGTCAGACCCTTCCAAGAAACATCCAATGTTGTCATTAAATCTCATCCATCAAAATCAAGGCGGTAAAAATTGCTGCCACCTAGCAGTCGGAGTTTGAATTGCATGACACAAAATAAATGCATGCATATTTTAAGTCAAAATTCTATTGTCTGCTTTCAAATAATGATTTAGTTTCATAGTTAGTATCATAACAGGAAAAAGTGTGATATCTCATTGCATTGATATTTTCTTACATCACTATTGAAGAATTCTGTTTAAAGCAGTTAAAACATTTCATTACATTTTTTATCATCATTATATATATATATTTATGCCTGTTGTAATTTTGTTGTTGTATTTCATATTGACCATGTACCAACCCTGTAACCCACCATCTCCCCAGGCCCCCCACTCTTCCCCCTAAACCCCAGAAAATGAGGAAGTCTAGACCTCGCTCCATTTTTACCCATAAGCTGTTTAACGGCAATATGGAGGCCTTCATTCAGGTATCGGCCCATCTGCGCTCTTTGTTTCTCTGTGAGCTCAGCTGTCTCACTAAGCAGTCCTCGGGGGTCCTGCCTTTTGCCTGTGACGCCTCTTTTATCCAGTCGTTGTTTCACTTATGCACTTTCTTCTTGCTCAGCGTCCTGTCCTCACAGTCTTTGAGTTTAGGAAGGAATGGCCAAATGGGATTTGGTGACGGGTTTTTGTTACTTCAACAAAATACTACTGGAGGGCTTTAATTCTCAGTTTTGAGAGCTCACATCAATCACATGCTAAATTTGGCTGGAAACGAGTCTGATTTTGATGATCAATTATTTATTAGTTATCTGTTTTATTCCCTAATAAAGTAACATTTGTAGAGGTTTTAATTTGACATTGTTTAATGTCTTTAAGCATAAATTTTAATTCGCTTAAATCAGAAATCTGGAGTTTTTCATCAGAGGACATCATCTAGAGGCGGAAAAACAAATTGCACCTTAAGCCCCTCTTCCTACTTCCCTGATTAAGTCTTCTCTGATTATAAAGACTTACTTTCCCTTGAGAAAGATCGCCAACTCGGCAACTATCTAGGTATGTCCGCAAATACTAGGCATGCTTATGAATGACATCTATACAAAAGTGGATGTTGAACACTATTGGCTAATGCTGAGCAGCTCTACAGGACATTGGATGACTTGGCAAGCCAACCTATATTGGATGGCAACAACCCATAGACAAAGCTCAGTCAAGGGGTGGAATTTATGGTTGTCTTTCAAACTGTCTCCACATGCTATTGGACACTGAACAATATGACGTACCCACCACAGTGGATTTCAGTCAATGGGGGCAGATCTCCATACACTGTCGAAGAAGTACCTCTATCTGCTCTTGACTCGAAGAAAAGCCTGAATCTAAATAGTCCAAAGTTGATGCCAAAGCTGTTTCAAACCTTTCGCCGCCATCTTAGTTGTTCCGCTCTGTTGCATCACCCTGCCCCCAAAACGATAAACTGCTATGATTGGCCCACCAAACCAATAGAATGCTATGATTGGCCCACCAAACTTATAGGTCCAATAGTAGACCTGCTGAAGCAAGACCGACATGGGGAGCAAAATAATTTTTCTTTGGCTGCTGTTTGACCAGATTGTAGGCTAGGAAAACTCTGGATTGCTGCTTTAAGTAGGATATTAGTTCATTTGGTTCATTTTCCCACATCCTCCACCCTCAGACTTTGGCTTTCCTCTCAGACCAGGCCTCTGTGAGATCTGTCTCTGTCGCTAACCTTTTGTGGTTGTTGTTGTTGCTTCTCTTCCTCTGCCTATGTACCTTTCTACTCTCTGGCCAGAGGACGACGGAATGTCCGTGCCCGCACTCAGGTACTCTGTCTTATAACAGCAAGGCAGGATCTTCACAGTGTATTTGTTTAATAAGCTAAATAATATGTCTGCCTCTGAACTGTTAGTCTTCCTGTTAGCCCAAACACTAGCATGAGTGTCCTCTGTATGTTTTTTGTTGTAAACCATTATAAAAGTAGGAAGTTATCATTTTGAGGAGATGCAACATTTAGTTAGAATAAAACACCTTATTTGTTTATGTGTTTTGTTTTTTAAATGTTTTGCTGATCATTCGATTGTCTGTGTAGGATTCTGCTCAGCCTATACCTGTGGTGGTTGAAAGCTGTGTTCGGTACATCAATCTGTACGGTATGTTCATTGGTTAAATATTTTCCTGCTCTTGTCTCTCACCACACAAATGACAGGCTGTAATGTTTTTGCCTCTGTGTTTGTTAGTAGATTTTGCAAAATAGCTTTTGAACCACTGAACAGATTTGAATTAAATTCTCAGAAACTAACCACTGGACATCTAAAACGATTACTTTTTTTGTTTGAACCACTGGAGTCAACTTTCTTCAGAAAACACAAAAATAGCTGTAACTTTTTACAGAAATTGAGCTAAAATGTAATTTCATAGCTGAGTAACTTAACATAACTTCATGTTCAGGAGTTGACCAGTTCAGCAGTTACTCAACAATAGGTCTTAGTCTGAAACATTGACATTAAAAGACATTGGATGATAGGAATGATCCAACTTTTCTTATTCAAAGAAATTTTTCAGTTTGCAGATTTACAATTAAATCATCACAATCTTTTTTGTTGTAAGCAAGTCTGAATTTCATAATAAAATATTTTTCAAAAGACTGAAATAAAAATAAAAATGATCTAAAATGCCCCATTAAACATTGTTTTGGTCTTATTTGTTCAATATTCGTGTATATTTTTAACTTCTTAATTCATTACTAATTAATCTACCTAGATATGTACCTCGATACTTACTTGAATCAAAAATACCACACATTATGCACATTTACAGTTATGCTCTTTTTTTGTTTGAATTTTAATAATTAATACTATAAAAGAAAAGCATTTTTCCTCATTCCTGCTGCTCCACTTGTCACGTTCTGTCTGAAATACTTTGATTTAGCTGCTGTCTTTTTGAAGACCGGTCCCTAATCTGGTCTGCTCATTGTTTATCTCTGCACTCAGGCCGGCTTTATTCAAGGTGTTTTGATGTTTGGCCACTTATTAAAAGTCAAAAACCCTGAGCTATTGAAAAGGAATTTCTTACATTCCAGCAGAAGAATTTTCTGCAGAAGAAAGTGACTCATTTTGAGTCAACTTTAGACTTTTTGTGCAGAAAAACATTGAAGCATAAGAACAACATTCTTTAACCATTTTGATGAAAACTTTCAGACATTTAAAATTCTGTAGAAACAAATTAGCTGGATTATTTCTGTTAAGATTGTTTTAATCTGCAGTGGACGCTGCACATTTCCTATTTTATGACCTGAATTGTCATTTTGTGGCTGCATACACGAAGTTTGTGAACACCAATAATACATTTTATAATGTAACACTTGCTTCTCTTTGACCCTGAATGTTTCCAGATCAAAGATCTGCTGCCCTAGACTGGATCTAGATAAGAACTGGTTTGTTTTTCTAAGAACAAGACAGTTTCATATTTGTCCTAATTTAGCTACAAATGCCCTTTTTACATTTAATTTATAACTGGAAGATAAAAAGAACAATGACTAAAAGTTTAGACATTAACCCAAATTACACCGGGGGCATTTTCACCTTAGTGATTTATTTTATAGCTTTCTTTTTCATATGACTTTAATGCATTTTTGTGTTTCCACAGGTCTTCAGCAGCAGGGTATATTCCGCGTTCCAGGATCTCAGGTCGAAGTCAATGACATTAAGAATGCATTTGAAAGAGGTTAGTCCCAGGTTGCTTGCCATCTTCTTATGATTGGTTTTAAATTGCGTTTTGCCCACCTGAAAAGCCACAGTGCATCTTGCAGGACTCTAAAGTGCAAATAAAGAGCCTGCGTGTCGCATGTACCCCACATAATGGACATGTAAACCACTTAATGCATAAAAGATCTGCATCCTGGAGTCATAATAAATGAGGAAGCATAACTGCATTATCCTGCTCTAATTTACAATACACAGCAAATTGCATCAGGACCTTGTCAAATGAGAGTGGATTTTCTGTATGACTAATGAGAGGAGTTTGGTCCATCTGCAGGAGAGGATCCGCTGGTGGACGATCAGACGGATCATGACATCAACTCTGTGGCGGGCGTTCTCAAGCTCTACTTCCGCGGCCTGGAAAACCCGTTGTTCCCCAAAGAGCGTTTTTTCGAATTCATGTCCACCACCAGTGAGTCGGATTACAGGAAAACACTGGAAATGTACTGAAATATTTATGATTGTTCCACTTGATTCGCGTTTATTTGTTCTTCTAGAAGTTGACTCCGATGCAGAAAGAGCTCGTCACCTTCAGCAGATAATTGTGAAATGTCCGCGGCCTGTGATTGTTGTCATGAGATACTTGTTTGCATTTCTGAACCAGTAAGTCTCCTCAAGACGAAGTTTAAACGTGCAAATTTATTACTGAGATACTGAGTGGTTGTGTTTCTCCAAGTCTTTCCCAGTACAGCGATGAGAACATGATGGACCCCTACAACTTAGCGATCTGCTTTGGCCCCACGCTGATGCCCATACCGGATGACCAGGACCCCGTAGCCTGCCAAGCGCACGTTAATGAGATTATTAAGACAGTTATCATCCACAATGAGGCTATCTTCCCAAGCCAGAGAGAGTTAGAGGGACCAGTGTATGAAAAGTGCATGGCTGGAGGGGAAGAGTACTGGTAGGTCCAAGGAAACACATCACTTTTAACATTTTTGTACATTCACTTTAATCTTATTTGACTTTCAAAGTCCTCCAAACTGACTAATGTGGCTTTGGCTTTAAAAGTGCAGTCAGAGCAACAAAACAAGACCAAACAATATAAAAAATATGGACTCCCCAACGTAACATTTTCCCATTAACTATCAGTTTCTACTATCATTGTTTATTCATTTTTCATTGTGTAAAAGTGAGATTAAAAGATGCACTTCTCAAAGGAGCCAAATCAGAATCCAAATCTTTCTCGTCATTGTAGCAACGGGACATTGTACTACGAAATTAAGGTGCAATTTTCCAGTGTAACAATAAAACTCAGTCACTCTGGTTAAAATATTGAAATAAAGACACCCATCCAATTTTTTTACCCCCCTAGTACCAGCACTCCTTTGTTCTTTATCATCAAAATCCAGAACAAATAGCAGCATTAAGACAGGTTATTTTGCCCAATTGTGCATCTGTGGCTGATTAATCTCCACTAAACATATTAAAGTTTTGCTCATTTCTTTATATGCAAACTTGCCATAAAAAAGATTAATTCTAATCAAGTGATGTTAAGATAGTTCAGAGTCAGAATTGTGTCATTTTTAAAAATAGTTGTTGCACTGACTCGCCTAACCTCATGCATTAGGTAAGAGGGTAAGAAATTAGATGTGCAGTTATTCAGCCCATTGCTGCCGTGGTTCTGAAGACAACCTTGTGAAAATCTGTTTGGTCCCAGTGAGTCTGATACTCAGCTGTAAAAATCACATTTCAGTCCACCTCCAGATTTAGTTTAATTTCCTGTTGCTTTTTTGTTCAGATATAAAGAAAATCTTGTTACAATTGTAATAAACCGTAAAAATGTAAAAATCCTTCTCATCCGTGCAGTGAAAGCCCTCACAGTGAGCCGGGAACCCTTGACGAGATCGACAATGGGACTGGACCAAACACGAGTGATGAAGGTCAGACTGCCGAGCCCGATCGATAAACTGTCACAATCACTGCTGTAGTATTTTGGAGCTGATGTGGGAAATGATGAGATTTTGAAATCAAAATCTGTAGTGCTTTTTTTTCCTTATCGTTGCAGAGTTTGAGCCGATTGAGGCCATAGCTAAGTTTGACTACGTGGGCCGGAGTCCAAGAGAGCTGTCCTTTAAGAAGGGAGCGTCTTTGCTGCTGTACCTGCGAGCGTCTGAGGACTGGTGGGAGGGTCGACACAACGGGGTGGACGGGCTGATCCCACATCAGTACATTGTAGTGCAGGACATGTAAGTCTGATTTATTAAATCTACTGAGCCAATAAAAAGGTCACAAGCTTGCTTATTTTCTTCCATACTTGTTTGTTGCACCAATAAATAAATCAGCCCCAAAAAAACGATCGACTGAAGAGAAGTTTTTTTCTTTTTCTAAACTTGCCCTTGAAAAAAGCCTTAAAGAGCATGTTAGCCCAAAATCAACCTTTTTGTGCTGATAACCTGTATAATTGAGTGTCTAGTAGTGCAGTAGACATCTGTAGGTGTTATGTTGTACATCTTATTTAAACTTTAATAATTCAGCCTGAAACCATCAGTGTGCTGCCCTTCAGGTTCGCCAGACAACTCGTCTTTGTGGCGCATTTTTCAAATAGGAAAAATAAGGTGGAGTAAGACTCTGGTAGGGTATAACTTGATCTTAAAATTTCTCCACCAGCTTTCCACCTTGCTGTTTGGAGTTGCTTTGTGTTTTATTTTTATTATAGTCATTCTCATCCTGTTCTTAGCAAGTGTCCACTCTTGGAGACAAATTGTGACCCAGGACCTGCTAAAGCGTTGTTTTCATAAAGACTCAAAATGTTTGCAGAAACTTTTGACCAGAGATCCACCGATGTGGGTTATTGCCGATACCGGTGCTGACATGCACAGGTGACTTTTTTTGGGCGGATTTTCTTGGCCGTAATTTCTTCCACCTTATTTGAATGCTAAAATGTCACCAATCAAAATCATACATGCACAGCATTTCTGAACCCGAATTAGTTTTGAACTCTGATTTTAACCAAATTTTGAATCGTAATTTCATGTATTGCTCATTATTGATATCTAATATTTGGTCAAACAAATCATAAAAACCTACCAAGTTTTAAATATAGAATGGCTAAATAAAAAGAACTGCCCGGAGATCTGCCTGACTTTAAATTGGCTCCACTAAAGAGGTGTATACCAATAAATTTAAAAAAAGTAAATATTGGTTCAATATATCAGCCGGCCAATGTTTCAGTTTATCGCTACTTTCAACATGTTCCAAATATTTTTTCTTTAAATTTCCTCATGAAGTAGTGAGAAAGAGTTCATGGGTATCTGAAATCCTTCTTCATATACTGTATTTTCCTTGAGTAAAGAAATGTGCTACGACTTTTAATAGAGGCATTACATTAATTTGTTTTATCCAGGCTCGACTACGGCAATGCTTTTTATGTTGGGCTAAGTCAGGCAACATTGAGATGTCTACAGTTGGTTCAGAACTCTGTGGGCAGATTTCTGACAGGGACAAGGAGGTTGCCACACATCACTCCTGTGTTGGCCTCATTACTTTGGCTTCCTGTAGTTTTGCGAGCTAAGTTTAAAGTTATGTGCTATGTCTTCTGGTCTCTTTATGGTAGTGCTCCAACAATGTCAATGACAAGTTTATTTATATAGCACATTTCCAACAATCAGAGACTGCTCAAAGTGCTGTACACAGACAAGCATTAGAAATAAAATGATAAAACACCGAGAACCGTCCAGTAGACCATAAAATTAATTAACGATAAAATCAGTTAAAAGCAAGGGTAAAAAGGTAGGTTTTTAAAAGAGACTTAAAAGCAGAAAGGCTGTTAGCAGACCTAATCTGTAGGGGAAGGCTGTTCCAGAGCTTGGGAGCGGCCACAGATAAAGCTCTGTCACCTCTGGACTTCATCCTAGACTTGGGAACAGATCATAGATGTAGGAAGGATGATCGGAGGTTTCATTTGGGGACATGAGTGTTTAAAAGTTCTGACAGATAAGGAGGGGCCAAATTCTGTTGTGCCTTAAAACAGATCATTAGCATTTTAAATTGAATCCTGTAAGTGATCGGGAGCCAGTGAAGAGCTTGTAAGACTGGTGTTATGTGATCCCTGCGCCTCCTACCTGTCAGCAAGCGAGCTGCCGCATTCTGAGCCACCTGCAAGCGGTGAATTGACGACTGCTACAGTCCATGATATAGAGAGCTGCAGTAGTCTAATCTTGACATGATTAGCAGGTGTATAACCTTTTCAAAGTCTTTGAGTGGTAAATAGGGCTTGACTTTGCTAAGAACACGCAAATGAAAGAACACACTCTGGACAACAGAACTCATCTGTTTATCAATTTTAAAATGGCCATCAATGAAAAAACCCAGATTTCTTGCCTGAGACATGCAAAAGGATTCTAAAGGGCCAAATACACTGTTTACCCCGTGCAACAGCCCAGGGTCCCCAAAAACGACAATTTCTGTCTTTTTGTCATTTAAGGTGAGAAGGTTGAATTGTAGCCAGTTTTTAATATCTTTTAGACAATTCAGTAATTTGTCAAACGATGGCCGTCTAGAATGTAGTGGGACATATATCTGCACATCGTCCGCAAAGAAGTGATACGAGATGCCATGCTTATGAAAGATGGCGCCAAGATGCAACATATACAGCAAGAACAAGAGCGTGCCCAAAACTGAACCTTGAGGGACACCACAACTAAGTTTCGCTGGAGATGAACAATACTGCCCCATATTTACTGTAAAAGTCCTGTCTGACAGGTAGGACTTAAACCACTGCAACACTGAGCCCCGGATGCCAACGTCATGCTCTAGGCGGGATAAAAGGATCTCATGGTCCACCGTATCAAAGGCCGCCATTAGGTCTAAAAGGATCAATACAGCTGATTGACCGGAATCAATAGTTAAAAATATATCATTAATTATTCTTAAAAGAGCAGTCTCCATACTGTGGTATTGCTTAAAACCTGATTGAAACTTCACTAAAATACCATATTGATCGAGGTAGTTCTGCAGCTGCCTGTAGACAATTTTCTCCATGACCTTAGAAAGGAAAGGGAGCTTGGAGATAGGCCTGTAGTTGGAGAGCACCATGGGATCGAGATTAGGTTTCTTTAAGAGTGGCTGAATAACAGCATGTTTAAAGGCGGCAGGGACATGACCAGCAGATAAACAAGTATTTATAATAAGTAAAATAATGGACCCAATTGTGGAAAAAAACATTTTTTAAAAGTGATGGGTGAATACTATCCAGTGGGCTGCAGGAAGGTCTTGACTGGTGAAACAACTTTGAGAGGTCAGAGAGAGACAACAGCTCAAACTGGTCAAAAGCTGTTGAGCATGGTTGTGAAGAGGCTGTGTCCACCAGAGAGGAAGGGGAAGATAATCTAAGAGAGGTGATCTTATCTGTGAAGAAATTCTTCAACTTTTCACAGAACAGATCAGAAAACTGTAGGCAAGAAGACACACCAAGGGAGATAAGATGACTCAGTACACTAAATAAGACCTGAGTCCTGTGGGAGTTATTTACAATAAGCATAGAAAGTACTGTGTCTTTGCATGCTTTAGTGCACACTGGTATTCAGCACGAGCATCCCTAAGGATATCCAGCGAGACATAAAGGTCGTCCTTTTTCCATTTTCTCTCAGCTCTCAACATACTTGGCAGCATTAATAAAAAGGCATGCCCCATCACGGACTCTACGTTCGGCTGATCTGGAGCTACTGATTGTCCCACAGACTAGGTACAGGTCTAGAGGTGATCGGGCTTTCTCAGTCTTGGCTCCTTCTCCCTGGAATGAACTTCCACTTGATATTAAACTGTCACCTTTGCTGCATGTTTTTAAGAGTCGTTTGAAGACTCATTTTTATCGTTTGGCTTTTATGTGACTGGTTATATGCTTTTATGCTCCTTGGTTACATTTTGTATGGTGCTTTTCAAATAAAAATCTTTGGTGGAAAGATTTGGTTTCACTAAATATGTTAACTGCACGATGACCTCTGCTTCAGGGATGATGCGTTCACTGACAACGTTCAGAAGACTGACGGTGAGGCCTACAGCGGACCATATCACAATAACCGGGTCTCCTCTAGAAATGAGCATCAGTCCCCTTGCGAGCATGCACCTGAGAATCGTTTCGGAGTTGCTTTGGGAAGGTGGGGAAAAACTTTGCAGAAGACGATGAGAGGAATGTGCTTTAATCTAATAAAGACAATAATTAACATATCATCTTTCAGGGTGAGAGTCCGATCAGATGGAGCTGACGTCCCTCGTCAAAGGAATGGTGCAGACAATCTCAGCCCCTCCCGATTGGCCGATCAACCCCCCAGGGTCATGCCTCGGCCTTGCAGTCCGCACAAGTTGGTCGTCAGCCGAGTTCACACAGACAGCCCAGAGAAGAGGCGTCTCACCACGTTTGGCAGTGCTGGCTGCATCAATCAACCCGACAGGAAGGCGTTCGTCGACAGCCACTCCCAGCGATCGTCACCGAGCACAACTCGACATGCCAGTTTAGGGGACCACAAGGGTCTAGAGACTGATGCACTCGCCGAGGTGAGCGTCACAAAAAGTTGTTAAACTCTCCCTGTAGTACGTGCTGCCACCCTCTCATTGCTTTTTGTTTGTTGATATTTGTCAGGACATAGAGAAAACGATGAACACAGCTCTGCACGAGCTGCGTGAGCTGGAGAGGCAGAACGTGGCCAAACACGCCCCTGATGTTGTCCTGGACACCTTGGAGACGCTCAAACAGCCCGGTGGGGCCCATGATGTGTCCGCCAGCCCGCTGCACACCATGGTGATCAGAGATCCAGACGCAGCCCAGCGGCGCAGCAGCAGCACCTCCTCCTCCGAGACCATGACCACATTTAAGCCTGCTCTGTCGGTGCGCAGACCGAGCGCCCCTCTACGGCCCCCGCCCGTCAGGCCCGTCAGACCTGCTCCTGTGATTGGACTGGGCCAGGGGCCACACCGCTCCAGCAGCTCCGGCTCTTCTGGTCTGGGCAGCCCAGGCATCACCCCCACTGAACGGGTGTTTCCTAAAGCACCCTCCCCATCACCGTCCACTTCCTCCTCCTCCTCGGACAAACAAGGCCACATGTAGCTCTAGTCAGCCCAGGAGAGAAGAAGCTAAAAACACTGACTTAAACCATCATCACACCTTCTCTAGACTGCAAATCAAACATCCGATCCTTCTGAATATTTACCACTAATCTGGATTAGAAGATGAGAGCGGCTACTGGTGTCTGTCCGCGCAATACCGGCCCGTGGCTGGAGCGTGTTACAGTGATTTGTATTACACAGAAATAGATTTAAACCCATAGGGATGGTTTTATAGACTGCTACCGAGCTGGAATGGAGAAATGCACTGGAAAATGTTTCTGTTTGCTGAATTATAACAGAGGAGCAACTCAATGAAGCGTTATTAGATTACTAAGATGCTGCGAGCTGGGCGCTCTGTGTCTGGTTTCCTGCTCCATTATCATGAATCACTTAAGGGAATATTTGCCCACTCGTCATGTAGACATGCAGACTGTGATGGTGGGACATCGTGTCTTGTGTTAGAGTAATTCCTTCAGCACCATTTTTATTGACCAGAGAGAAAACGACCCAACTCTGTGACAGCCAGCCAAACATTAAAACACAAGCTGCAGTTCTGCTCATGACCACTAGATGAAGGGAATTTACAATTGCGCTGCATTAACAGCATCAAATCATTTAAATATTCTGCACACTGTACAAATATTCTATGCATCGTAGGTATAACATAAAAAAAGATGTTCTCTAAATATAAACATTAAATGTTAAACGTTTTAGCGAATGACTCCAGCACAGCAATTCTGCAGCAGTTTTTACATTGGAGTCTCATCTCACAGTGTAAAAGGATCACAAACGATGTTTGATTAAAGAAGTGTTCAGTCTGTCTTATAAAGTCTTACCTTTTGGAAACTTTTTATAAATATATTATTACTCTAGCTTGTATTTTCATTCGGGTTTCTTCATCTTTCAGTCGTAAAAGCAGGCAATGTCGCATCCATTACATCAAAAAAGGAAGCTAAAACTGTCCTGGAAATGCTCGTTTTCTTACAATCATCTCTTTACAGAAATAAAAGGTTAGCTGTATTCCCTCAACAAATCAGTGAGACACTCACACAATTCTGTCAACTAATGCACTAATATACTCTACAGGGTTCTGTGTCTTTGTTAGGATGAGGCTGGACTAGAAACAAAGAGTTTTTCCTGTCTGGGTCAGTCGCTGCAGGCCGTGTGGATGTTGAGCTCAACACGCTGTTTACTGATTGTTGTTTGTCCCATGAGGCTGATCTTTCAAGTGTAAATGCATTAGAGTGAATAAAAATGCCTGTAAATATAACATTGTATCATAGGATGGGATATAATATCATCTGTAGTCCGTAGAGTTTTGTAATTCTTATCCTTGCACAGATGTTAGCAGAATAATAAACTCAACTCAAGACTTTTGTGTCTGTTTCATGATTTTAGGTGGGAAACATTTGTGCAGCTATTTTATTTTAGAGCCAGTTAGCCATGTTTCTCTATTGTTTTCTAAATGTACACTGTAAAATCTGATTAGTTCTGCTTACTTGAAAAAAGCATGCAGGGTGATTGCACTTGCGACAGTGGCACAGAAGTTAAGTGCTTGCACTGTAATCGGAAGGTTGCAGGCTCAAGCCCCGCTCTGTTTGTCACTTGTTGTGTCCTTGAGCAAGACACTTTGCTCACCTTGCCTGCTGGTGGTGGTCGGAGGGACCGGTGGCGCCAGTGTTCGGCAGCCTCACCTCTGTCTGTGCGCCCCAGGGCAGCTGTAGCTACATCGTAGCTCATCCCCACCAGGGTGTGAATGTGTGTGTGAACGGCTGAATGACTGATTGTGTTGTAAAGGGCCTTGGGGGGATTCCAGGACTCTAGAAGGTGCTATATAAAATATAGGCCTTTTACTTAAAATGGTAAGTGCAAGGAACTAAATAATTAGTGTGTTGGAACTACTAATAGAAAGTAAAATGCACCTAACTGCAAGTTACTTGGGTCCTGAGACAAGTTACGTTAGCTAAGACAAATTAATAAAAAGTACTTTAACATTTGCTTACTGAATGAGTATAGCCTGATTTATACTTCTCAAGCTTGTGATTGGTCAGGATGCCACTTCCTGTTAATTTGTCAACAGCACTGTCATTGCCCCATCAAAAGTAAAACGATATTTAGAGGCTGACACGAAACAGGTTGAAGAATGCATTGCGGAAAAAGTCAGAAAATATGGACATATTCACCCGTGACTTAAGGAGTACAAAATATGGAGCAAACTTTTTTACATGGACGGAAATGATGAGAAACGTGGGTTTAGAGCATGGTTTAGATGTGCCAACCGTATGAAGAAGTGGAAGAGAATGAAAGACTAATTTGTCCGTTTTAAAAAGTCTGAAACTTATAAACACGTTAGTAAATATATTATCGGATACATGAGTGTAATGGTGGTGTGATACCATATAAAACCACTATGCCCTCTGTTGTCCTGCGGAGAATTGCTTTGCAATGCTCCCCAGGGGACGGAGAACATCTCCAGTACGTGGGCGCCTCTCCCTTGCGCAGCTGATGAAAAAGTATAAATTAGGCTTATTTCTGAGTTGAATAAATTTCAGCATTAGTAAATTGTAAGTACATATTAAATAACTTGTACTAGTTTATCTTTGTTATGGTAACTAACATGTAAGTGCACTTTACTTTGTATGCATTAGTGACTCCAACACATACAGGTGAAACTGTAAAAATTAGAATATGATGCAAAAGTTTATTTATTACAGAAATTCAACTTAAAGGGTCAAACTAAACTATGAGATAGACTCATCACATACAAAGTCAGGTATTTGAGCCTTTGTTATGGTGATTATGGCTTTTTATGAAACACCAAACCAAAAATATCAGACAATTAGAATATTGTGAAAAGAATCAATATTCTAGACTCAAAGTGTCTCACTCTAATCTAATGAATTCAAAACACCTGCAAAGGGTACCCAAGCCTTTACAGGGTCTCTCAGTCTAAGTTGTATTACTGACACAAATGTACTTTTTCATCACATTCTAAGTTTTTGAGTTTCACCTGCAATAACCTAGTCCAGTGCACTTATTAAGTGTAATAACTTGTATTGGTTTCTATTGCCACCTACTGGGCAAGTTTGGCTTCAGCACAAATTTGTTCAAAGTTAGACATTAAATGGTGTATCAATAATAGGACAGGACCTGTGTCATTACAAATCATCAACCTTTCCCCATTACATGGTTTTAAATTTGGTTAAATGTGATTGAAAGCATGACAAATAGACATTTCCCACATCTATTTAATGTACTTCACCACATATCCTGTGGGTGGAGGCATTTTCCTGAAGAACAAAAACACTGACTTGTTCATGTACGGTGTGTTCTGATTTTAAGTCAGTTTATGTCCCATTGATGTTTTCTGATAACGTCTAATATTCATTCTATTAGCCTACAGATCTTCTTGAGGAACCATTTTGATCAAACACAGCTGTCTCAGACCTCTACACGTTTTCCTTCTCTTCTGTCCACAGTCGGCCCGCAGTGTCAGCTTCATTTCATTTACTTTTGTTTATTTGGACCTGAAAGAGGATGTAATTAGATTACTATGTCCACCCAGGCTTGATGGCTGAGGGAGGAGGGAGTGAACTACCTGTAGATTAGCACTCAGCTCTCTGGTGATGGCGTCTTGGTGCAAAAGGCCTTTTCATCAGCACGCTGATGTAATTAACGTCAGCAAGTTTAAGGCTAACTCAAGGCTGGGTGTTGGTTCTTTGTGTGTTTCCTCAGACAAAAGAACAATATACCTAATTACAGACATATGAGATGCATGTAAGAGTTGTTTTGCAAATATATAAACAATAAACTAAAATGTAAGGTCAAATTATAGATTTTTTTTACAAATAGAGATTAGAATTAATAAGACATTAGATTTTACTGGAATATCTTTTTCATAGGAAGTTTTAATTTCCTGCTATTAGGCCTTGTATTAAATATGAAGCTTTGCACAGCAAAAATATTTATCAGAGACTTAAAGCTGTATTTTTAAGTTAGAGAACATTAATATGAGATAATAATATTATAGCCAATATGATGAGTAAGGTTTCAGGTTGCAATAACTTCCAAAACATCTCAAGCTACAAGGAAAGAAATAAATACATCCTTGATTATTCTAATATTATAATTACAATAAAAACAATATTCCAATTCCATTTATATGTTAGACTTTCTGATACAGAATGCACTTGCAGTTGCATTGAGCATCTTTTTCCAAGATGAAAAGATTTTTTTTTTAATTCATGTAAAATCAATTAAGACAACAAACAAGGTTTACCAGCCTTGAAACCCCAATCCACCATGTTTCTTCCCACAATAAATGCTGAGATTAATGAAGTATTTTGTGCGAGAAGGAAAAATTAATCGTGAATTGTTTACCCAAATAATTTGTAAAGGCTGCTTGCAGACTAATAGCTCCCATTGTCAAGACTGTTTCTCTGTTTGTGGTAGATTAGCTCTAGATGTGTGTGTGTGTGTGTGTGTGTGTGTGTGTGTGTGTGTGTGTGTGTGTGTGTGTGTGTGTGTGTGTGTGTGTGTGTGTGTATTCATCAGAGACAGCATTTGTTTATTTGTTTAATGCTGATGTTTGCTGATCTTAATTGCCATTATTGCTTTTATGGCCATTTTACACAAGATTTATTGATCTGATGCTTGTTTTAATTCTAAAAACATCTAAAATGAAAGTGTCTGCTATGGGATGCCAAGTATACATGCTAAAGATTAACCAGAAAATTGTGGAGTATTTAGCTTATGTTTCCTACATTTAGCACAATTTCATCACATTTCAAACAGAAATAGCCAATAAATAGTTATTTACCAACATGTTTACATTTTATATAAAATCAGCTAATCTAAAGGAGGCATATTATGACTTATTGTATTTCTATGTAGTAGTAGTAGTAGACTTTAGACACACTGGTCCAGCATAAAATGTGGTAAAATGGTTGATATAATACGGTTTTATGAAGTTTTTGAATAAAATCCATGTCCTTTTACATTTAATCAGTAACACATATACTAATATTTACACATCGCAATAAATCTCACAATAGCTACCTTTAATGAGACCAAAGTAATCAAATAGATCTTCAAGTTACAAAAAATACATTTTAAATTTATTAAATTAATTTGATTTATATATATATATATATATATATATATATATATATATATATATATATATATATATATATATATATATATATACATATATATATATTTGGGCCCAACCCATTTAGATTTAATTTTTGTGAAATGTTATATGTTATGTGACCTTTTCTAGGCATGAAAGTGTGCTAAATGTAGGACACTAAACATAAAGGAAAACTGTCTGGTTAGTCTTTTGCACGTACAATTTACATTTGGCATCCTACAATCCTAGCTGTTAGGTCATCTGTCTCCTCAGAATTCATGTTTCTCTTCCAAAGAGCTGAGCTATACTTTTGATGCCAATTTGCATTGGTTTTAAAGACAAACTAGTCTTTTGTTAAGAGGAAATTTTTCTCAAAGTCTATGTAAACATTACTGAAGTAATATACATGAAGTCGCCATGAATGTGAATTTGTGATTTACAGCACCTATTTTTACAGAATCTAAGTCTTTCTGCCTAAATATTTCTTAAATGAAGCTTTTAAGACCAAGCTAAAAGATTCATAAATCTGTTCTCGAAGAAATTGGAGTAAACAGACCCTTTGAGGGTTCGCACGTTGATGCTGAGTAAGCTTACCACGTACATTACTGCAGCAGAGGAATTAAAACACCCTCCTCACTCTCAAACCTCACACTTAAGCCACAAATCCTACTTTCAGCTATACATCAACTCGTGTCAAATGTTTGTGGTTACAGAGCATTGGTTTTTGTGCTTTAACTTCACATTAGCTGTCACATAAGGAAGCTCTTGTTTCCTAAGAAGCACACACCCAGAGGGAAAGAAGTAAACCTGATTTTACTTTTGCTGCCATGAATGTACGCTCACTGATGTTTTGTTCTTTATTCATACAACAGAACAAGATGAAGTTGATTATAAAACCCAACCATGCAGCCTCCGGGTTCTCCTGCTCCTTTGGTGTGAGAGAGGTGTCTGTTTCTAATCAGCCAACCATGGCAGGATGGATCATTCCCTTCATATTTGCTCCCTTTCTCCTGCTATCACAGAAAATGAAGCAGAGGGCTGATTAGCCAAATTTCTCAGAAGATTTTTCAATTTAATCAAAGAAAAGGATGTAGATAAAACAGCCAGATAAACCTGCTGACTGGAGGCAGAAGTCAAACCTGCCAAAATAACCGCTGCGTGTCACAGTGATTAGATTCTCATTCAGCGGGTCTCAGGACCCAACATCAGTGGAACAAATGCACTCAGGGAAAAATGCA